GGCAGAGTCCAGCTCCCAGGACTTGGGCACCATCTCCTAGGGCTGGCTTGCTGTGCTGCTTGGCCACCAAGCACCGCCAAGCTATGTAACACCCGTCTCTCTGGCTTCATGGGATTTATAAAGATTTTTCCTTTTAATCCTGCTGGCTTTATTCAAAAGGAACACCATTTCTGAGGATTCGAGTTAATCAAGGGGTCACTGTGGTCTGACTCTTTGGCCCCAAGCTACACTCACCCTTCTAAGCTATTGTGAATTCCCTTAATCTTCGCGGCTGGCCTCCACCAGCTCTGTGCCCTGCCCCTGGCTCTGCTCCTGGCCTCTTTACTCTTTTGAAAAGGCAGCTCTCCTCAGAAGACAAGAGAGACCCTTACTCCTTGCTATGCTTTGGGCATGGTTTGAGTGTCCCCCAGAGTATGGAAGAATGTATTAGTCTGTTTCCTGTTGCTATAACAAAACACCTAAGGTATTTTGTACTGGAAGCCTAGTCCTCAGGGTGGTGGTGTTGAGGCAGGGGAATCTTTATGTGGTGGGGCCTGACAAAGGGTTATAGGTCATTGGGGAAGCCACCCTTAGAACGGATTAATGTATTCTGTGTGGGGCCCTGGGTAGTTCCTGAGAGATCAGGTTGTTATAAAAAGAACCAACCTTGCCTGAAATTCCTTGCGCTTCCCGTCTTGCCATGTGTTTATTCTCTCCCCCTTTTACATACACTTCCACCGTCTGCCATGCTGTGATGTAGACAGAAAGCTCTCCCTAGAGCTAAGCAGAAACTGCCATGATGCTCTGGAAACCGCAAAATTGAAAACCAAATAAACCTCTTTTTTAATAATGTACCCAACCTTAGGTATTTTGTGATAGCAACAGAAAACAGACTAATGCATTCCTCTGTGCATTAGAGAGAGAGAGAGTCTTTTATACCAATACAGAGACCTTCAAATAACTCTCAGATCACACAGTGCCATTCCAATTAAGCCTGCTCTCCAAAGAACAAGATAGAGTGATGCACCTGCCTTCAGTTGCCCTCATATTTAAGCCAAAAAAAATACAAAAGGGACATTTGGGGGTCTAGCCAATGTAAGCAAGCAAGTATAGAAGCTGAATTGGGCAGTTAATGAGACAATTCACTGAGTTCATTGGTATTTCCTACAGGACTTTCCAGGTTGGCATAGCAGCAAGCAAGCGGAAAGGAAGTAGGTCGAAATGACCCTAGTTGAGTACAAGTTAGAAAATGGTTACTAACGTCTAGACAATCAATCTCTGACAAGGTACACTGCCCAAGAAAAAGAGCAAAGAGAATGATTTTACATTGCATAAGAATTGCTATGCTAGGTGACTATTAATGGGTACAGAGGTGGGGCTTTCCCACGGGAGAAGCATGTCTTATGTGATATGGAATTTCAGTGCAAAATGGAGTCTGTTTGGTCATTGCCCATATAACCCAGCCCATAACAATAGTGATCAGTGATGTAGAAAAAGGAACTGAGTCTCAAGTGGGAGAACCCTATTTTCTTTTTTGGGGGAGGGGGTGCAGTACCGGGTATTGAACTCAGGAGCACTCGACCACTGAGCCACATCCCCAGCCCTATTTTCTATTTTATTTAGAGACAAGGTCTCACTGAGTTGCTTAGCACCTCGCTGTTGCTGAGGCTGGCTTTGAACTCAGGATCCTCCTGTCTCAGCCTCCCAAGCCACTGGGATTCTAGGCATGTGTCACTATGCCTACCAGGGAGACCCCATTTTCAATTCCTGACTCTACCAACCTATTTGAGTCTGGCCTCCAAATCTGTAAAACAGAGATACTTCTATTTGCCTTTGTCAATAATTAACCAAACAAGAATGTATACGGTGATTTATAAAAATAATTTCACAACTGTCTTATTGGAGAACTTTTATTATTAGCAGTTTTGCAGATGAAGAAAGCAAGGCTCAGAGAGGTCAGGAAACTTCCTATTATTCCTGAATGTGGTAGAACTAGGCATAGAGGCCAGGCCTCTTAGATTTAAATGCCACATGGGCTGGGGATGTGGCTCAAGTGGTAATGCACTCGCCTGGCATGCTCGCAGTGCTGGGTTCGATCCTCAGCACCACGTAAAAGTAAAATAAAGATGTTGTGGGCTGGGGATGTGGCTCAAGCGGTAGCGCGCTCGCCTGGCATGCGTGCGGCCCGGGTTCGATTCTCAGCACCACATACAAACAAAGATGTTGTGTCCGCCGAAAACTAAAAAATAAATATTAAAATTCATTCTCTCTCTCTCTCTCTCTCTCTCTCTCTTTCTCTTTTTTAAAAAAATTTTAAAAAAGATGTTGTGTCCACCAAAAACTGAATTATCTCTCTCTTTAAAAAAATAAAAATAAAAATAAATGCTACATGTTATCCACAGTCCCTAGGCTGCTCCTGCCGCTGGCTGTACTCACGGGGCTGTGGTTAGGATCTGATGAGGTGACATGTGGTGACATGAACAAAGAGTACTATATCAGCTCTAAAGAGCTCTTCCAGAGAGCAGGGGTGTGAGTGTTGAGATGTCCCCAGTGCCATGGGGACCTCCCTAGTTACATTGAGGGAACTCAGATGACATTTTTCTCATTGTGACCACGTACATCTGTCCAATTGCTAGACATTCAAGTAAAAAAGTATTTCAGCAAATGGTTTTCAGCATAAATGGCTTTTGTTTCTGTTCTTCCTCGAGCTTCTCAGAGGAGCCATGCTGAGGTGGAAGGGCGGAGGCCCATGGGCCCTTGGGGTTTCGTTGGAATGAATGGGATAAACCTTAAGGTTCATGACCTTTAAACATGTACCTGCTCCTTCCCATGCACTGTGGACTCAATGGTGCTGTCCTCCCAAATTTTTATGTGGAAATCTTCATCCCAGGGCCATGGTATTGGATGGAGGGCCTGTAGGTGGTAATTCGGTCATGAGGGTGGAGTTCTCGTGAATGGTCTCTGCACACCTGGGTGTGATACTGATACTGCCTTATGAGAACAGTCCAGGCGGCTGGCCAGTTGTTTCTGCCATGTGAGGAGACGGACAAGGAACACAGGCTTCACCAGATCCTGACCCAGCCGCAGGCATCCCGATCTCGGACTTCCAGGCCCCAGAATGGAGAAGTCAATTTCTGTCATTGCTAAGCCACCCAGTCTATGTGCATGTGTTACAGCATCCCAGATGGACAAAGTCACCAGGTGACCCTGATGAGGTACAGGTGAAAACTGGGTTATGCTAAGAAAGCAAAAAAAAAAAAAAAAAAAAAAACAGAGCTCTGTGGGAAGTCAGGTTGAATGAGGCAGGACACAAAAGCCCAGAGGCGGAATTTCAGCTCTGTGCCAGAGGAAATAGCGAGCTATTGTGAGTTCTGGAAAGGAATGTTAAGTTCCAGGATTTTCTCCTTATAAAAGAAAAATGATTTTTCTGAGACCTAAAAACAATTCCCAAACTTCCCTTTGTTCCTGAAAACTTCCAGCAAAGATAGTGGACATGGGCTGGGGATGTGGCTCAAGCGGTAGCGCGCTCGCCTGGCATGCGTGAGACCCAGATTTGATCCTCAGCACCACATACAAGCAAAGATGTTGTGTATGCCGAAAACTAAAAAAAACTAAACATTAAAAAAAAAAATTCTCTCTCTCTCTCTCACTCTTTCAAAAAAAAAGATAGTGGGCATGATCCCTGCACTCAGAATACTCAGAGTTCAGGAATTAGCAATGATAACTGCTAACCACATTAAAAAAAAATATATATATATATATATATATATATAATTTTGTTCCAATAAGGTTTTAGTGTATAGTAACTGTGTTAGCAACTTCCATGTATCTCATTTAATGTTCAAAGCAAGGTGACTATGGGGTACGGGGAGCATTGAATCTATTTTAGAGGTAAGAAAGTCATTCTTTTGAAGAGTCATGAATTATGCCCCTTTACTTTCTTGGTTTGCTCTGCTTTAGGTCAAACTGAAGCAGATTCCTGTGTCCCGGGCACCTTTCTTACAGCCCTGGATTTGCATGAAGTTGGGGATGTAGTGGGACAGCTGGGGTCCTCTGCACACCTGGGTGTGATACTGATACTGCCTCTTCCTGTGTTGTCCTGTGCAATCATTTTTCCTCAGGTCCTCTCCCCCAGACCAGAATTTGGCTTCACCTGCACACCAAGTAGATATCTGTAGATTTGATGTTTTCAAGGGGACTGCATGTCTAAAGCAGCCACTCAAGCTTTTCCATCAACATAGACAACATGGCGGCTGACACTCATGCAGAGCACACCCCATGCACCCCACCCTGCCCAGAGTATATGAATGAGTCTGGCAGAAGGTCTGAGGATACCTAGCACACACACACAAGATAACTCCTGCCTTTCTTTTACAGTCGAGAAAGCATGATGGCATACAAGCCTGGGTCACTTACTTATTAAAAGTCTTAGATGGTTCCAAATCTGCTCAATTTCACTTTTAAGAAATCATTAAAATGTTCATACTTTAACCAGAAAAAAAAATGACTTGAGATTCATATCACAGTGGATGATGGGTCCTAACGTCAGAGCCCTTGTTCTTGTTTGCAGGATCAGTTTGGATTGGCTAGGTTATGCTGCAATAACAACAACAAAAAAATCCCTTAAAATGCCAGCAATCTAAATCAACACATTTATTTCTTGCTCACTCTATCTTTATTTTTCAGGTCAATATGGTATCTCCTCACTGTAGCCGTTCAGGGACCCCGGCTGATAGAGATGTCATCTTGACCTGTGCGTCTGTGATCAGAGACAAAGGAACGAGAACCAGTGAACAGTTCATTGGCTTTTAAGACTTCAGACCCCCTCATTTCTGTTCACAGTTCATTGTCCAACCTGTGTTCAATAGGACAACGTTATCATTACATGTTGATGCGCATAAAAGTTGCTTTCCGTACCACCTCTTTCTCATTCAAAATGAACCAAGGCGCGCTCTAAGCGCTATTTGCCCCTAAGTGTCTCCTTCGACCCTACTGATGACTGCCTTCCCTTTATCTTATAGGTGAACGGTGTAGGAGTTTCCGGAGTGTAGTACCAACTGAAGAACAAGGTACTCGTGTTCTGCCCACGGGCACTCCTCATAATTTGAACAATTTTTATTGTTCTATTGGATCTGGGGGAAAAGATGAGACAGTCATTTATAGTTTTCCCATGAAGTCACATCCAAAGTCCAAAACCACAGACCTCTCCACATGCCCCATAGCCCAGGAGAGCTGGAAAACATTAGAGGACCGACTCTTCCCCGGGGAGGGCAAGCCCTGATTGGAAGCCTCTGCCACTTTCCCTGGAATCAACATTCCCATCAGGGGAAGCTCTCCTGCAGGCTGAAGTGGAATAGGTAAGCCCTGGCATCACCACTGCCTACAGCACGTTTTCTTCTCTATGTCCCTCGTGCAACTTGTCATTACTTTCTTCATATTTATTCTCCCGACTGAAAAAGAAGTTTCGTGGAGACATGGAATGGATCACATCCTAACTTGCCCTACAGTAGGACTTTTACAACCAGTTTCCCTTCCTGTCTCCTTTACCCATTCCGCTCCACCTCCAACACAGTTCCTAAAAGCCTCAGGCAGGATCCCATCCAGAGGGTGAATGAGCTGCTTGCTCAGAACTAAGTGGGCTTGGGTATTTCCAGACAGGGCCCTGCAGTTTTCAAACTCCTGCCCTCATGCTGAAGCTTGCCTGTCTTCAAAAAGGAAGAGGCAGTGTCTTCTGTTGAAATCAAACCAATGTGTGAAGTTTTGATCCGGGGAGCGGGGATCCCAGTTATCTCTCGTGTCCTGCCCTGGGGTCTTGCTTAGTATTTTTCTCTCCCAACTATGGTCAGTCTTTAGAAATATCTCCTTCGGGTCCTAGGAGCCCCCTTTATTTGCCAACTCTCTGAGGATCTGTGACTTTGACTCCAAGGAGTTGGCTTTTTGTGGTTTCTTTCACAAGTCACTGTGGTCTGGAAATGGCTTGAGTACGTTCACCAGAGATTCTTGTTTTGGAAGCTGGGCCTCTAGTGTGGTGACCCTTAGAGGTGATGAAGGACTGTAAGAGGTGGGGGTGAGTGGGAGGTATTAAGGTCATTGGGGCAAGAAAATTAATGCAATTCTTGTTTGACCCTAAGTTTGTTCTTGTAAGACAGTTGTAATAAAAGAGATCACTTGGTCCCTCCCCACCTCTCTTGCCATGTGATCTCTTCTTCTAGTATCTACTTCACCAAGATGCTATCCATCATGATATGGTGTAGCCCAGGGGCCTTTGCAAGAACTAGCCTATTACATCATCCAAAACTGTGAGCTTAATAAACCTTTTTATTTATTTATTTTTTTTGGAGGGAGGTGGAGTAACCAGGGATTGAACTCAGGGGCACTGGACCACTGAGCCGCATCCCCAGCCCTATTTTGTATTTTATTTAGAGACAGGGTCTCATTGAGTTGCTTAGCACCTCGCTTTTGCTGAGGCTGGCTTTGAACTCTTGATCCTCCTGCCTCAGCCTCCTGAGCCACTGGGATTCCACTGCAACAGGCCTAAACCTTTTTCTTGATAAAGCATCCAACCTCAGGTATTTCGTTATAGTAACAGAAAATAAGCTAATACAGAAGTGAACTAAATCAAAGGTTAGAACCTTTCAGTACTTATGAGTTCTAAATGCCCAGCACTTCTGTCCTCCTTTCATTTTGCAGGTGTTTTATGGCTCTGCATTGGGGCTGAGGTCCTGGTTGTCTTTCTGATCCTGACAAGTGCCATCCTCCTGGGCTCCAGAATGAGCTGTCACAGCTGTGGGTTCAACTGGCTCAAGGTGGATGCCTCAATAGCCATCCTCATGGTATTCGCAGGTACTCTCCGGCAGCACCAGTAGAACAGGCAGATTCCCCTCAGCCTGCCCCAGGGGAAAAACAATACTTCAGGCTGGGTGTACCCATTGCCAATAATAAGCTGACTCCTTCCTGTCCATAGCCAGTTCAGCAGAACGATCAGTCCCCTGAGTAAGTCACTGAATTAATTCCGTCGGGTAGAAGCATTGTTGCCTTGTGACCGATGAACAGAAAGGGGATAGGCAAAGATGGAGATGAGGATTTATCAGTATATCTTTGTCACAACCAGAGAAGAGGGTGCACTGGCTGTGAGAACAGAAATCATCTCATTTAGTGTGGTGGTCAGGCCTCAACCTATGGAAGAATCCTGCCAGGTTCAAATCTTTACTACTTAAGGGGCTGTGTTATTTAACCTCTATAAGTTAGCTATCATAGCTAGATTATATAGATTATAGTGATGACCAAATTAGAGAGCATCTGAGCGTGGTGGCACATGCCTGTAATCCCAGAGACTCAGGAGGCTGAGGCAGGAGGGTTGCAAGTTCAAAGTCAGCCTCGGCAACTTAGTGAGACCCTAAGCAACTCAGTGAGATCCTGTCTCTAACCAAATTTTTTTTTTCAAAAAAAGGCCTAGGGATGTGGCTCAGTGGTAAAGCACCTCTGGGTTCAATCCCTGATACACACACACACACACACACACACACACACACACACACACACAAAGAGAAAATGCAGAATAAATTGGAAGCTTTTAAAAAATTGTTATCCAAATTTGGTGTTAATATTTCATAAAAGTAAAGAACTGCTTTTTTTGTTGTTGTTCTACTTCTATTTTCTCTAAACAACCTTTAAAGCAACTTAATTTGGTCTCCTACGTGAGTGTATCCTCCAAGAAAGAACCCAGCACAAACTACTCCTTCCAATTCTCCAGGTGGACCAAGTCTGTTTATAGTGTGTCCATCTAATTTGCACGTGGCTTTTGTGCTTGATGAGTGTAGCATCTTTCCTGAGTCTTATCAGAGGATACAGTGATAAAAATTCAACTTCTGGATCTTCATAGCAAAGAGCCAGGGCACAGACACTTGGAGACTCCTGCCCAGGCCCCGGCATCCACTGAGGTCCTGCCTGATTGTGATTCAGCCTCTTTCTGGATGTCTCTTCAGTTGCAACTGTAGAAATCAGATGCCACATGGAACGTAAAAGGATGTTTAAGCACAGATACATCGTGAAGAACTTTGTGGGCACTAGAGAACTCCCAACTTCCCACTCATGCAAGGTAGAGAGCTCTTCCACCATGTTGCTTTCTTACACATGGCTCACAAAGCTTTCTTTGTGCAGGGCTCCTGGGCATGGTGTCCCACATGATGTATACGACTATTTTTCAAATCACTGTGAACCTTGGGCCAGAAGATTGGAGGCCTCAGACGTGGGACTATGGCTGGTCATATTGGTAAGTTGTTCTGTCCTGGTGCTCAGTCCTGGTGGATGAGCAAGCGGTGCACACGAGTCTTGTGGGACAACTGACATGGGTCATGGTGCTGACACCTGCTACTCCTGTGACTTTGAGTTGGTTTTGTGACCTTTCTGTAGCCCAGTTTCCTTATCTGTAAAATGAGGCTATCTGCCTTACATCGTTTTATAGGGATTTGAAGAGGTTATGTTTGCAAAAATGCTTGGCACACAGCAAAGTCCCCAAGAAATGGAGACATTGTTGTTACATTATTTAAATACAGACTAGATGGGCTGGGGATGTGGCTCAAGCGGTAGCGCGCTCACCTGGCATGCGTGCGGCCAGGGTTCGATCCTCAGCACCACATACCAACAAAGATGTTGTGTCCGCCCAGAACTAAAAAATAAATATTAAAAAATTCTCTCTCTCTCTCTCTCTCTCTCTCTCTCTCTCTCTCTCTCTCTCTCTCTCTCTCTCTCTCTCTCTCTCTCTCTCTCTCCTCTCTCACTCTCTCTTTAAAAAAAAAAATACAGACTAGCAGAGAGTGCCCTGAGCTAGAAGTCCTCTTCAATGAGAGGAGACCCAGCCCCTGTGCCTAATATAAAGATAAGGCTATGGCTTCGAAGTTCTGACTCTAACAGAAAGGCTTGACCATGACATAAAAGACCACAGGGGTTCTTGTTAACATAGACCTCCAAAGCATATTAGATCCTAAAAATAGAGGTACATAGACCTACATTTTCATCCTACATGGTAACCTCTTGGGTTAGGTGAAAGTTGTCGGATTAAAAATGGCGTTGTGGGGTTGGGGTTGTGGCTCAGTGGTTCAGCACTTGCCTTGCATGAGTGAGGCACTGGGTTCAATCCTCAGCACCACATATATTAATTAATTAAATAAAGATATAGTTTCCATCTACAACTAAAAATATATATATATTTTTAAAAAATGGCATCGTTCATGTCAGATCCTGTCAGGGAGACCCTGAGTGGGGTGGGGTGGAGCTCTTATGCATGATTTGCCTAATAATAGGAAAGTTTTGCAAACTGTAGTTCACTGTGAGTCACACAGGGACAGCTACAGGCAAGGACAGTGAGCCATTTAACCATGAACAACACCTGCTAGATACACTGTCTCAGAAGCTTAATCCAAAGCCACAAGGGCCTAACTGGAACCCCAAGATTACAAATAATCTTACCTAGCAACAGCAACACCAGCCAACCACGGCTTGCCACTCCCAAAAGATACCACTAGCATCAACCGATTTATTTTTGAACCCAGGGGCACTTTATCATTGGGCTACATCCCAAGCCACTTTTATCTTATTTGGGGACAAGGTTTTCTAAATTGCTGAGATTGGCCTTAAACTTGCCATCCTCCTGCCTCAACCTCCCCAGAGTTAGAGGTGCGCGCCACTGTGCCCGGCAACAGTGGACTTTCTTTCAAAACAATTTAAGTAGCTCTTTTCTTTTTCAATAAAATCACCACCTTTTCCTTTGTTCTTTGGATAGACCAGAAGCTACCCTGGTCTGTGCATATGTTCTTCCAATCCTATTCTTTGTTTATCCCAAATAAAGCATTTTGCTTGGAGATCTGTCTTAACATTTGCATGTGATGGTGATTTTCCTCTTTGCAAAACACATAGCATTTTCAGGTTTCCCTCCCTCGTCCTCCTATCCTAGAGTACCCTGAGCTAGAACTCCTCTTCAATGAGAGGAGACTCAGCCCCTGTGCCTAATGGAAAGATAAGGCTATGGCTTATCTGGAGGAGAACATGCCTGTGTTGCTATGATCCTTATGCTGCATAACTTACCAGGTTTAAAACTCTTCTTTGTCTTTATCTTTATCCCAGTCTGAAGATGTTAAGTTTTATGAATGCTTTTCTGTACAACTCCACCTGTTTATCACTTTAGGGCTTCTCTCTATACTACAGCCACTGGTCCTGAGGGGTTATCACCAGCCCTGGGCACAGAGAAGCAAAGATGAATTTCAGGTAGGTTCTTATCTATAACCAATTTGTATCAAGTTCCTGTTGCTATAGATGGAAGCAAATCCCAAACCACATAAGAATCTGAAGAATTTTGTTTGTTTTCAGCATCATTTGGTTTTGGTTTAGGTTTTTGTTCCTATTACTTATAATTACTTAATTTTTAATAAAATATACATATGCAAATACTTTTCAGAATCAACTAATAGGAAGCTCAACCATCTATCAATTCCATCCCCCTCCAGTTCCCCCAAAGCCCCCCATCTTCCTGCTTTCTTCTGAACTGGTTGCTGTTAGAGACTTCCCCTTGTCATAAGACTGCCTGTTGCCACTCATTTATATGTTGCAGTGCTATTTCCTAGGTCCCATCGTTATTACATTATTTATTGTATGTTCATGTTTTGTGGGAGCACATCCTTAAGTAGCTTCCTAAGAAAGGATTCAATGAGAGATCAATTTTTTTCCTTGCAGGTCTGGAAATATATTTATTCAATGCTCTAGACTTGATTGTTTGGTGAAGTACAGAATTCTTACTCAGTAATCATTTTTTCTTAGAATTTTGGAGACAACGATTTCTCATCTTCTAGCATATTGTTACTGTCCAGCATTCAATACCATTCTAATTCGTATGTTTTTGTAGGTGGCCTGTTTTTTTCTTCTGAAATGTCTGGACGATGTTCCTTGGTGGGATTTTCTTTCCATCACATTCATTCTTCTTTCCTGTGAATATTCATGTCCTAGAATTCTGGGAATATTTCTTGTATTACTTCTTTGATTATGTCTTCCCTGCAGGTTTCTGTTTTCTTAGAACTTTTGTTAAGTAGTAACCTAACAAGGTCTCTTGAGTTAATTATCTCAATGTCTTTCCTTATATTGCTTTCCTT